CCAGCGTGTAGAATTAGTAAAGTATTCATAAAGTCTGGAAAAACTAAACATTTAATTTTTGAAGAATGCCTAAGATCGTCCATAAAAATTCTGGAAACATTTAATTTTCAAAAGAATGTTCATTATTTTATAGTACTTATTTGATATTATCAAATATTATATTATATGTGGTATTATTATTTACGGTAGATAAACATTGGAAAATTAACATATTTGATTTAAGGTCGTATTTAGGTATTATTAGTTATGGGATATTATAACTCAACAATCGTTTCTATTATACATATAAAAATATAATAATACATAATATAAATATAATTATACATATACAAATATTTATTATATCAGTGTTAAATACTAGACATAATCAACATAAACATTTTCGACTATTCATTAATTGCCGATTTAAAGCCCTATTATTTACAATTAAAGAAATATATTACATTTGATAAAAATTATATATGATGATAGCTACTCGCCCCGGTTTTGCACGGGTGTACATGTATTATACATATAAACCTTCCTCTTGAATCACTCTATCTATTAAACCGCTTGAAAATCCGTTGGTAGTTTTAAAGATTTAAGCATACATAGGGACAGACAAGCGACAGCGACTTTGTTATATACTATGTAATGATTCTATATGAGTAATTACAGCGATAACGCAATTGTTACTCTACCAATATCTCCATTATTAAAAATTACTTATGAATAAATTACCATGTCGCCGCGGCGCCGCCATGTCTGGCGTCTGCTGTCTATATAATATATATGTATAACAAGTACTTACATGAAGTAATAGAAGTTCCACGTCTATCACTTCGTACTCGAATGCGCCAAACGAACGACAATTGAATCTAGTTTTTATTACCATACATTTTAAAATACATTTTCATTTGTGCATGAATCTGCAATGTATTTCCTAATGCTGAACCGATTTTAGTACCTACTGTATTGTTATTAGGTAATTTTATTTATTTTGTATTTTTATAATATCTTAAGTCTTAGAGTTATAAGTATACCTTTCGGCTTTGACTCCAAAAAATCCCAAGTCATATATGTTCATGTTCATTAAGTATTAATTTATATTTTAGGTTAGTAGAAATGTAGAATGATTTTCAGCAACTAAATAAATATATAAATTGACAAATAACTGAACAAGCACACCGCTTTACTATCCGATGGTCGTGGGTTCGATTCCTCGCACGGTACAAATATTTGTATTCATGAGTATGATTGTTTGTATCGGTCTGGGTGTTTTCTATGTATAATATGTATTTATTTACAAAAAATAATGTATCCAGCTATTTATATCAGTTGTCTAGTACCCATAACACAAGCTCTGCTCAGCTTGGGACTAGATGGCGCTGTGTGAATTGTCCTGAAATATTATTATGATTATTATTATTTATTCTATCGCCTTTTTTGAGCCATTAGTCAAATGAAGGGATTTGTGGTTTTTACTATTTGTTCAAACCAAAAACAAGAATAATTGGCAGGTAGTACGCATGAGTAAATTTCATTGTAAAAATATATTGTATAAGAAAAGTGAAAAAGTTAAACAATTTAAGGTAAGGGTTTTTATATCAATTGAGTAAAGGTGTGGTTCCTTTAGGAGCGGATATTTTTTGACTTGTTTATTCCTGAATACACATAATTTTAAGATGTACCTAAGCATAAGAGAACATCTTAGCGTAGTGATCTATTATCCTATTCCAAAATCTAATCAAACACAAAATCATGAAACTTATATTTCTGGCTGCCAGGACCAGCCAGAACAAAAATAATTCCATTAAAAAATACAAATAAAATACCTATATCTCAAGTGTTGAGTTCATTACAATGGATGTCGATTATTTATACTGCTTATAACAGCCTCAGATATCAGTCTCGATGGTACTGTACTAGATGGACGAATACTAAGTACAATCTCTTTTTTTACGAAACTAGCTGTTTCTGCAGTTCACGTGCGATTACATTACTGTAAAGTTTCGTTAAAATCAATTCAGTAGTTTTTCCGTGAAAGAGTAACAAACATCCAGCCATTCATCTATCCATATTCAAAAACTTTCGCGTTTATAAAATTACCACAGATAAGATAATATTAGAAAGATAACGAATTGAATATAAACAGTATAAAGTATTGCCTGTGCCTACTAATATTTACTAATCTAACAAAGCAAAATAGATGAAACAAAATAATATTTCCTATCACTTTCTGTCAATACACTAATTACACTTGTACAATTGTGACGAATCTAACGAAATTAGTCAAAGTGATGTGTTCCAATGCTTCTTACTTAATAAAAACGTAAACATGTACTTCATACATTCTGTTCTAAGAATTGCGAACCGCTATCGCGTAAAGTGGGACCACACATTTTAAGGTTACTTAAAAATAACCGCAACATCAATGTACAAGTTTATGAACGGAGAGAGTTACCGACGTAACATTTGTTTAACGACAAGTTCATTACCAAAATTATTACACCGTAAACTTCGTTTGTACTTTGTAATTTAGTATGACATTTTGAACGTTTTTAATATTCTTGACGGCCTCGGTGGTCTAGCGGTTTAATGTACCACTTTTCTTCCGTTAGGTGGGGATTCTATTCCTTACACAGTACAAACATTTGTATTGATGGGTATGATTGTTTATATTGATCTAGATGTTCTATATATATGTATTAGTCCCGTCAGCGCCATCTAGTCTCAAGTTAAGCATAGTTCGTGTTATGGGTACTAAACAACTGATGCAAATATTTTTTTTTGTACAATATAGGAAACACCCAAACCAATGTAAACACGGCCTCGGTGGTCTAGCAGTTTAGCGCACCGTTTTACTTCCAATGGTCACGGGTTCGATTCCTGGCATGGTACAAACATTTGTATTCAGGAGTATGATCGTTTGTATCGGTTGTATATTATGTAAGTATTAAAAATATATATGTATTTATATCAATTGTCTAGTACCCATAACACAAGCTCTGTGTAAACAGAGATTATTGAGACATTATTACATTGAGACTTTGTGTGAAGTTTGTCCAGGAATATTATTTAACAATCATATCTATGAATACAAATTTTGCATCGTGAGAGGAATAGAGATCACCACCATCGGAACTAAAACGCTATATGAAACTTAACAATAATATAGCTTATGCATCAGAATAATATATAGGTACAACTAAGAACCTAAAATTAAAAAGCTTATAAAATATGATATAATGACTAACATATATTATTAAAAGGGGTCCCTTTAGGCAACATTCCGAAGATACTGGCAGCGTTCCCTCTTTGAATAGCTAGACTAATTCTTTGTCCAAGGTATCTGCCAGCTCTTCGGTCTTCTGTGATGTCGACTAACCTTTTCGTTATTTCTTTGAAAAATCTTATAGCGCTAGGTATATAAATAGGTTACATTTTTTATTGACATATAACGCAGGTGAACTGTCAAATTGTCCAGTGATCGAACTCACGACTACCGAAATATGAGGCAGTGTGCTAAACGGCAAACTTATATTTATAGTCTCATACATAATGTAGCTATTTGAACAAGTAATTACAGGCGTACTAATAAGTACATATGGTCACAGTATAAAAAATGTTTAAATTGTGACATTATTTCGCGACAGTTTCGAAGAAAGGAATAGTGAACACACCTCGTGGTATAAACCGATAGTTAGCGTCATGTATGACGGAAAATTTTCTTTTTTATGTTATGGTGATGTTACCGTTACTGTTGTTGCATTCAATGCTTTAACAAATACTGACATGACAAATGCACAAAAATATGTGTTACGAAAGGAACTTTAATTTGTGAGCATGAGAATTTAGGTGCACTACGAAAACTGTTTCTTTATACAAAATAAATTAGTTGTTATTAACAACTTAATGTGTATAAAGGCATAATATAAAGTGGCTAACAAGGATCTGATTCTGCAAACTTTTAAGGCGTTATGTCAATGTATTATTAATTACTGCATCTGTACGTGGGGATGTGCCTCAAAATCATATTTAATTGAACTTGAGAGAGCCCAAAGGGCGGTGATTAAAGTTATGTTTTCACTACCATATAGACATCCTACAGCGCTGGTATACGAACATGCTGATGTTTTGTCAGTGCGTAAAATGTTCATATATCAGTGTTTAAGACGATATCATCGTGTAACTGTGCCAGCAATAACATGTGAACCAAAACGCATTATTAGAAAATTTAAATATCCAATTCCATTTGTGAAAACAACATTTGCAAAGAAGCAATTTAATTATATAGCACCTCGGTTATACAATGCACTTGCTGGCAAGGATAATGATAAATTAAAGGATAAATCTAATCATGATATAAAAAAGATTATTTTGAAATGGCTAAAACCACTTGAATATGAAAACTGTGAAACACTAGTGTCCCCGTATTAGTATTGGTATTAATATTTATCTCTCCTTCTTCTTCTCTTATCCTCTCTCTCACACATACACAACACACACACACACACACACACACACACAAACACACACACACACACACACATACACATACACTTTGCAAGTAAATAATGATAAGCTTGTGTTATTAACTTATGAATAATCTTATCCACGGATCCCCAAGGGTGTACTTTGATTAGGGTAGTTAAATAAATTAAACTACGGAAACCTTTCCACAGTGGTTGTTATATTATATAATTAATAATTATTAAAAGACTATATATGTTCCAAAAAAAATCTAAATAGCGTGATGTAGAAAAAAGTATAAAAACTAAACAACGCCATCTAGTGGCACACTTGGGAACTAAAACAAACATGTAATCTCGTTCGATTGTACATTCTGCCCACCAAGGACAAATTGCATCTTGTCCTTTACAATTATCAACCTGCCCACCGTGATGTATTTTAATCAAATAAATATACTGTATCTACTTATTATTAACAAAAATAAAATATTACATTGAAAGGAGTACCTTATTCAAAGAAAATAATATAAACTAAACAAAAACCTGCCATTATTTGGCTATTGGTAAAATACACAATTTTGATGTGGGCCTTTTAAGACATCCATTTTTAGTTTTTAATGTTACTACTCTAATTATATTATCTTGTCCTGGATGAATAGCAACTATCCTGCCATAAAGCCAACGAGATGGAGGTAAACCCTCTTGCTTTATAACTACTACATCCCCTAAATTTGGTTGCGGAGTTTGTGATGCCCATCTATAACGATGGAAAAATTTAATTAGGTATTCTTTAGACCACTGATGCCAAAAATCTTGCACTATCCTGTGTGTATATTGCCACCGCCTTAAAGAGCTCACATTGGATGACGTAAAATCATAATCAGGGGCTGTTCTCAACGGTTCTCCTATCAAGAAATGTCCTGGCGTCAATACATTTAAGCTATCAGGATCATCGTTGAGTACTGATTGAGGCCTTGAGTTTAAACAAGCCTCGATTTGAATGAGTACTGTAGCCATTTCTTCGTACGTTAACGTTGAATTGCCTATTATTCGTTTCAGGTGGTATTTCACTGATCGGATACCTCTTTCCCAAAGTCCTCCAAAATTAGGGGCGTGCGGAGGAATGAAACGCCATGTGCAACCAAGTATTGCCAGTGATTCTGCTACTTCGTCCATTACAGCTTTATTTTCTGCATGGAACAGTTTTTTAAGTTCAACGGCTGCACCAACGAAATTCGTGCCATTGTCACTCCAGAGTTCTGTGCAGGAACCACGCCTAGCCACAAATCGTTTATAAGCACTTAGAAATCCTTCCGATGTAAGGTCGCTCACAACCTCTATATGCACCGCACGAGTGACCATACAAACGAATAGGCATATATATCCCTTATAGGATCCGAAACCTCTGCCTTTAGTTGTTCTGATCTGAATGGGACCAGCATAATCTACTCCACTGTGCTTGAATGGACGTGTAGGAGTAACTCTACTTGATGGCAACTGTCCCATCAATTGACTTTGAGTTGTACCTGCGTTTTTTATGCATGTTACACATTTACGGCAGTATGATTTTACTAGCTGTTTCCCGCCCAATATCCAAAATTTTGACTGAAGATAGCTTAGAGTCAATTGCAGTCCACCATGTAAAGTTTGCATGTGTGCATCCGCTATCAAAAGTGTGGTTAACGAAGACTGTTTAGGGATCAATAGAGGGTGTTTCTGATTATAGGATAATTGGGAATGTTCTAATCTTCCACCTACTCTCAACAAGCCCTTTTGGTCTATGAACGGGTTCAATGGTTTCAGTGGACCCTTCAGTCTATTTGTCTTCATTGTACTATTAGTGTTACTAAAAACCTCTAGAAAATGTTCTCTCTGACACTGCCTTACGCACGTTTCCAGAGCATCACTCAATTCTTTCGCAGAGAGGTACTTACTACGAGACGTATCATTCCGTCCTTTTCTGATATTCAGAAAACGTCTGCAGTATGCAATTATCCTTACCAATCTGTTAAGCGAAGAATATTTATCCCATATAAAACAAGTTGTAACTGTAATATGAACTTTGGCTGTTTCTAGTTCTGTTTCGATATCTTTTGGTTTTACGTACAGTATTTCCTTATCATGCAAGAATCGTGGACCTTCAAACCACATTACATTATTTTTCAGTTCTGATGGATACAACCCTCTGGACGCATGGTCAGCGGGATTGCATTTAGTACCAACATGCGACCAATAATGACTATCTAAATTGGTCAGAATTTCAGACACACGATTTGCAACAAATACCTTCCAACGATTTGGATGACTATTAATCCATGCGAGCACTACTGTAGAGTCAGTCCACGCATGCAGGTAAGTCTTTTGGATGTTCAATACCTTTGCAGTTTCAATTAAAAGTTTAGTCAGTAATACTGCTCCACACAATTCCAATCTGGGAACCGACACTTGTTTGACCGGCGCCACTTTTGTTTTTGCAGAGATCAATGTGACTCGAACATTTCCCTCCAAATCAACTACGCGAGCATACACAACCGCCCCATAAGCCGATTGTGATGCGTCACAAAACCCATGCAACTCAACTTTAACATCACTTGCCTTGGTACCTATCCATCTCGGTATTTCAATTTCAGTTAAAATAGTTAGTTCATTTCGATATTTAATCCATTCTTGAAGTATTTTTTCAGGTACTATTTCATCCCAATCAATTCCTGTTAACCATAGTTTCTGTATAATAATTTTGAAAAGAATTGTGCATGGCGCTACCCATCCCAGAGGATCATAAAAACGTGATATATCAGAAATAATTTTTCTTTTAGTAATTGGTTCTTTCAGGTCTGGCAGCTTTACAGTATAGTGGAAGGCATCGCGTCTACGATTCCAGGTAAGTCCTACAATTTTAATAATATCATCTGTCTTTATTTTTAATTCTTCTTTCAGATCATCTGTCTTTCTAGATTCCTTCATTTCTATTAACAACTCATTATCATTCGTTGTCCATTTTTGTAACTCAAATCCTCCTTTTATTAGTAAATCATTCATTTCTTTATATATTTTTATACCTTCAGCTTTATCTTGACAGCCCGTTAATAGATCGTCCATGTAAAAGTCAGTCCTTACCCTTCCAGCAGCTACTGGGTATCTATTTTCTTCATCCTCAGCTATTTGTTGCAGCGTTTTTATTGCCAGATAGGGTGCAGATGCTGTCCCAAAAGTAACACGAAGTAATCTATAATGTTTAATTTGATCTTCAATTTGCCATAATAAACGCTGAAAATTAATATCTTGTTTATTAACACGAATTTGACGGTACATTTTGACTACATCAGCAGATAAACAAATAGGCCAAGTTCTCCACCGTATCATAATATGTCTTAATTCAGACTGTAAAGCAGGTCCTACTAACATATAATCGTTCAGTGAACGTCCATTTGTTCCCTTACAGGAGGCGTCGAAGACCACCCGTACTTTCGTTGTATCTTTATCATTTTTTACTACAGCATGATGAGGTAAGTAAATAGCATCAACACTCTCAATTTCATTTACAGGTACCTCCTCCATGTGACCAAGAGATAAGTATTCATTTATTACTTCTTCATAACTTTTCTTTAAATCTTCATTTTTATTTAATCTTATCATTAATAATTTTAATCTTTTTTCAGATATCTGCAGGGATCTACTCACCTACGGACTCTCCTTGAATGGAAGACGGACAACATATTTACCATCAATATCTCGGTAAGTAGTATCAGTGTAATATTTTTCACACGTTTTTTCTTCATCGGTAAGTAATTTTTCCCTTGTCAATTCTGTATCTGATTCCAATTCCCAGAATTTCTTTAATATTTCATTTTCTTCTATTCTACAGTGCATAACCTTTATTTCAGAATGCGGGTTGGCAGACACTTGAACTACTCCAGATAATATCCAGCCTAATCTAGTAGATTGTGCTACCAATGTTTCCGATGGACTCCTTTTTATTCCATCTTGTAATATACGACAATATACCTCCGCTCCCAATAATAAATCTATGCGATTGGGAGTATTATAACTTGGGTCCGCAAGAGTAACATTCTTCAGATCCTCCCATTCTAATGATTCCACTCTTTTTGTTGGTAAAATACTGGTAATACATTTCAAAACATATGCCTTTATAATAATAGTAAAATTAGTGTCAACTAGAGACTTCAGTTCTATGTTCACCATAGCCTTGGAGATGATATCCTTATCTCCACCCAATCCAGATATTTGCCCTCTGATCGGGATCTTTTTTAAACCCAAATATTGAACTATAGACTCCGTGACAAATGAAGATTGTGATCCTTGATCTATCAAAGCTCGTATAGTGTAACCCAGACCATTTCTCGACTTGGCTTCGACTAGCGCCGTAGCTAGTAAAACCTGATTACTAATTCGACCTGTCGAGAAACAACTTATAGACTGAGTTGGTTTATCTATTTCCACACCTGAGCTAGTAGACGGGACAACACACTCATTGGACGATGACCTTTCATCACTATTAACAACATCACTGTTACCCGTGGGGTGTAAAAGAGAGTGGTGTTTTCTTTTGCACACACGACATTTTATTGGAATAAAGCATGCTTTGGCAGAGTGGTTGCTACCCAAGCAATTAAAACAAAGATTATTTGTTTGTACAAATTGACGGCGAGTATTTACATTTTCTTTAGCAAACTTTTTACAATAACAGAGTTTGTGACCTTCCATACAAAACTGACATTTAGCATTGGTGATATGAAATGACTTAGGCTTACTAATTTGAAACCCTTTGTGAATGTTCTGAGACTTATTTATTACATTAGGTTTATTATCTAAAAATTCAATAGCACGATAACGACTAGTCAAAAACTCTTTAAACTGTTCGTAAGACGGTAACTCATCAGACGACTTACTATTATTTGTAAAATTAAATTCCCATTGTCGCCTAGTTTCATAATCTAATTTTAAAGTTAAAATATGTATAACTAAAATATCCCATCCCTTGACATCAACACCAATATTACATAAAGTCGCCAAACAATCATTAGTTGTATCTATCAATTCCTTGATACCCGTAGCGGATTCACATGTTAAATTTCTCTGACTTAAAAACCTTTTCAATATATGATGACAGATGTATTTTTTATTATTATATCGCTCCTCTAATAAAGACCAACACCTTTCATAATTACTGCCCATAATAGGTATATGCTTTAAAATTTGTTCGGCTTCGCCTGTTAAATAGCCCTTCAGATAATGTAGTTTTTCGACATCATCTAAAGTTTGATTTTGGTGAATTAAGGATTTAAATAAATCGTGGAAGGCACTCCACTCCGAATATTGGCCTGAAAAGCCTTTTATATTTATTTTCGGCAATTTTACATGCGTAGAACCACTAGTAGAACCACGCGACTGTTCCGTATTAATATTTGACTGAGTGCTATTAAAAGTTGACAAAATTCTTTTTAAATCACCTTTAAAATTCAGATACATTTGTTCAGTTTCATCATAATAATCATTCGCTACATAACTAGAAGATCTCAATAATTTTGGCTCTACAGTGCGCATTATATCCTTATGACCATTTAAAAAATCAAACCAATACTGATCTAAACTTTCCAACCTTCCTTCTACATACTCCTTTGTTAGTCTTTCTTTCGGACATTTTTTAAAATTAACTTGTGCTTTTTTAATACGCGAATTAAGATCCTCTTGAAACATAACTAAAGATTCCATGTTTACACAGTAATAATATTATAAACAAATAAAAAAACAAATTTTTAATAGAATATTTTAAACAAAGTTCAATCTTTAGTAAACACACAAAATTTATTTCCTTACAATTTAAAAGTAAAATTAATATTTATTGTAGTGACTAAAACTGCTATGTATAAAAAATTTTTAAATTATTCTAAGTGTTTAGAAAAGATTGCACCTCAAATAAAAATCGGGCATGGATTCCCCGTCTCTTCAATATTTGTAAAACTATTCTAAGTCCTAAAATTACTATTAACTACATACAATTAATTTTAAAATTTCTAAGTTATTATTTTCCTATATATAAAGTTCAATATTGCTTGTAATTTTCACTCTTCTATGAATAGTTTAATATCTTCTAAATTTTATTGAAATTCTAAGTTAAAATCTTCTAGTATTTAAGACTCAAAATCACTTGGCAAAACGAAATAACTATAAAATGTACTCACAGTTGTTTTCCCACTATTTCAACACAACACAAATTGATGTACTTGCCGCCACTGCTCGCTTTACACAATGAGACACAGTGTTGCCTCACTTCTCGCCTTCAGCTCTGCTTTACTCCTCTCCAGTCCTGTTGTCCTGACAGCACCCACACGCTGTCTGAAGCTCCGCCCTGCTGCTTCGCTTCTGCTTCTGCTTCGTAACTACGTTTGCAACAGCAATCCACTGTCCGTAGTTCTCATGTGCCAAAAAATGCACCACCACTAGGATGCCTGCCGAATCCGGCACTCGAAGGACCACAATGAATAATCTTATCCACGGATCCCCAAGGGTGTACTTTGATTAGGGTAGTTAAATAAATTAAACTACGGAAACCTTTCCACAGTGGTTGTTATATTATATAATTAATAATTATTAAAAGACTATATATGTTCCAAAAAAAATCTAAATAGCGTGATGTAGAAAAAAGTATAAAAACTAAACAACGCCATCTAGTGGCACACTTGGGAACTAAAACAAACATGTAATCTCGTTCGATTGTACAACTTATTTAATTGTCTTTTTATAAATTGTAATTCCAAATATTGTGAATTGTAAGAGGAGGGAACTGGTAGCTAAAATACAAGTTTCTACTTAATTTAGTTACCAGGGAACAATTTAAATTGTAAATATTGGATGCAAAATAAAATTATTATTATTATTATAATAATCAAAACAAAGCAATCGAAGAAATCTAGGTCTACTCTTTATATACGTAAGTCTTTGACTTTATCCTTTAATCTGATATTCTTACCTATTATACCTATTACACAATTGTGTAAAGGTTTGATTATACATTTGTTTATATATTACACAATATTTCGCAAATTCTGACAAATTTCTCATCTCTTGGTTAGTATATATTAAATTAGTCGTTATTCTAATTATTTATATTAATTAGAAGTAATGAAATTTTATTTAAGTATTTAAAGTTTAGCAGGACAAAAATGTAATATGGATCCAATGTCTTTGCAGCAATGGAAACGCCTAATCCACAATGATTGCGTTTACAATATTCACGCTTCAAGAATATCGTGACGGTGGGACAAACAATCATTAGACACACACGGCCTCCCACTTTCTGTACCCAAAAACCAAACCCCAAACCATGACTTGACGTCATAACAAATGACTGTATGTGATAATATCACGTTTTACTAATAACAACACCACTTTCTAATTGAATGTTTGTTTTTTTAAACATATTTTTAGTAACAAATTTAGGGCACAGTAGCATGGTATGGCTCTCCTATTGCAATAAATATCTTTATTAATGCTTATCATCATTATCATCGTCATCTCAGCCCTGACGATGTCCACCGCTGAAGAAAGGCCTCCCCCAAAAATCTCCACGCCGATTGTCCTGCGCTGCTCGCATCCAACGCCTTCCAGATATCTTGACCAGATCGTCGGTCCATCTTACTGGAGACCTTCTCACGCCACGTCTTTCGGTCCGCGGTCACCATTCGAGGACTTTACTGCCCCAACGGCCATCTGTCCTGCTATGTGCCCATTGTGTGCAGTTTCTCTTCAGGCTATGTCAGTCACTCTGGTTCTTAATGCTATTAGACACTCACTCAGTACTAAAAGTAGTTCCATTCAAGATGAACTGACAAAACACGCTGCAATGGAAGCCACGCCATTGTTCATTATAATAACACAAAATTATTAAAACTTATATTAAGAATGAATATAGTGACCATATAGTATTTAATTATAATTATTAAAAGTAATTCAATCAGAAACTAAACTTGAACAGACCACAAGCAGGATCCATTCACGAGTATGACGGATTATTATATAATATAGTAAATTAAGTATGTTGAAAAACTATGTCGTCACCCATTTTCATATATAGAATGTTTTAAGAGGTGACTAGAAAAATAATACAAAGTACACAAGTGCAAAACAACAAAGCTCAAAAAAGTCCTATGCCAAATGCGCTGGGTTACAATATTATCTCTACTAGGTAGATAGGGGGTGAGAGGATTGTTAGTAGAATAGAAAATCCTTTATTCAAATAAACTTAATTTAAGCACTTTTGAATAGTCATAACATTTTTTTTAATCTACAGCTCATTGGGAAAGCTGTCTCATCACAAGAAGAACGAGCAAGAAATTTGTGTGTTGCTCTTTTAAATAATCCTTGTAAGTTCACATTTTTCAGGCCGAAACATGTGAATACAAACTACCAACTAGCACTAATTTATTAGGATAAAATATAAATACACAATAAAAAAAATCTGATGTAGTAATAAAAGCTGACCAATCCCTACAAGCAGCTCTCGTTCATGAGTTTCACGTATGAGACAGCCATCACTGTGCTCGACCATATTTTAGGGAGCCCATTGACCCGGCCCACTACGCCGCCACATAGTAACAGCACAGATAAGATAATATTACATAGTAATAGTGAACAAACATAAACTAAATTAGTAAAACATAGTCTGGCCCTTGCGATACAAGCTACGCTTAGTGCAGAGACCGTTGTGAATAAACACAACTGAGCACTTTGTTTAATTGTCATAGGTTAAGTTAAGTTAAGATATATATTATTAAAGTTGTGTCTCATGTGAAATGCTTTTTCTTGAAATAAGTATTATCATTATTAAAAAAAAAATGAACACTGTCAAATCGACCTCCATGCAGTCTGAAAACTATTGCTAGTTATTATTGAATTTGCCACGATGGGCTAACTGACCAGATTTCATACTCACACCAAAATGAATAAAAGACCAAAATTTTAATGCGATACTTTCGCTACATCACTAATTTATTTTTTGCAATTTAAATTGCTCTGTGAATAATCCGTGAAGAGAATAGAGGACGTCTAGACTGGGACGTATGAATTAAATAAAAAACAATGTAGGCGTGACACGTTTTTTTTATTTTAAACATTTATCTTGATATGAACTGGGCAGTTATTTCATTAAACGTTAATTATGCTTAATACAATAAATAACCTATTTTTGTAGGTTATCTGTAATTGAAAAAAATATAATTTACTAAAGAAATATCAATTGCTCGAGTATTAAAATACGACATATAAAATTACAAATATCATAATTATACTAACGGATAAAGTAATTACGGATGTATATTTACATAGAATCTATCTATATAGAAATTCTCCAATAGAATAGTTATATCACAGAAAATATTACAGAATCATACGTATGAACAGACGTGTTTGTATTTTTAATAGCAATCGGACAAACGAGATTACGACTCACCTGATGCTACTATATAGGGATCGAAACTGTCGCCATCAGATGCGACCCTGCCACTGCACCACTAAGTTACTAGAAAGTAATATAAAGAAGTAGAGCCTAGGCTACAAATGTAAGTGAATGTTTGATAAGAGCAATTTCCTTTTCAGTGTAAGTAATACTAATTTACATGTTTTTGTGTTACAATTTTACGCATCGTGAGCACCAAACTCATGCTGTACGAGTGTTTTAAGATTCATAAACTAAAGCAATTTAATATAATGAAAGCTGAAAAAACCTGATCCCTATTATTATTGACGGTCTCATTGGTTACTGCATTATTTCTGATGGTCGTGGGTTCGATTCTTCGCACGACACATACATACATTTGTATTCATGATTATGATTGGTTGTATTGGTCTGGGTGTTTCCTATGTGTATTATGTATGTATTTATAAAAAAAATGTATTTATTTATTTCTATCTTTTGTCTAGTAGGTATCCATTACATAAGCTCTGCTTAGCTTGGAACTAGGTGACGCAGAATTGTTCTGACTTATTATTTTTGTCAACGCCGTTGTTATCTGCTGTATCTGTCTGTTTGTTTTTTACTTGTAATTAGTTATCCTTATATGTGTTTCTGTAATATAATAAATTGATCTCTTGAACTTGAAGTGGTGAAATAGGCGAAAGAATATATGTTTGAGAAACTACAGAAACAGTTCTTTCACTATACAATTTTTTGTTCTGTAAATTATCAAAGACTATAAGAAAATAATATACATAAAGTAAAGTCGATTGAATTATGTTCTTTATGACACAATAACGGTTGGGCCGTCTTTTATATTATACAAAGATATTGCGTAACTTAATACGTACGTTTAAAATAAACCGTATTTACATAAATAACGGGAACATCGACGAAATGGGTTAATAAAGTAGACTAAAATAGAATAAAAAAAATGTTTATTTAGAAAAACTTAAATTTAGAGACTTTTGAATGGTTATACTTAATTTTTTATTTTACCGCTAATTCGGAAAACTGTCTTATCATAATAAGAACAAGCAAGAAACTTGCTGTTGTAACTTTACGTTTTTCAGTTGATATATAAAACTAACATTAATTTATTAAAGCCAACTAAAATCGATTTTCCAAAATTATTACAAATCACAAATAATACATTAAATTAAACGTAATAAACAAAGTGGTGGAAATGAGTATCTATTTCTTAACAAAGTCAATTTAAAATAGGTTAAATGTTCATATGTAGTATAGTCATCTAGAACCG